CTACTCCGACTACACAATCCGCAAAGCCATCACTCCAGTCATGAAGAAGGATCCTCTTGTGGAGCCACTCAAAACCATCACCTTACCCTACATTGCAGGGGTCACTAAAAAGATCTCCAAAATCCTGAATAAACACAAGATCCAGGTCCGATTCAACACAGTACACAAAATCCGTGATTTAGTTCCATCTGTAAAAGATGCTCTTCCAGACATACAGTACCCGGGCGTTTACAAACTAAAGTGCCTCTGTGGTAGTAGCTACATTGGAGAAACCAAAAGACATATCTCGGACCGCATCCGCGAACATAAAGCAGACTTGAAACACGGTAAGACGAACTCCTCGGCCGTGGCAGATCACTGTTACAATTCAGTGGGCTCACATGACATTGACTTCTCCAAGACGGAGGTTCTTTGCAAACCAACTGGCTACCATGAGAGATTCGTTCATGAGACCATTCACATATACAAGCACAGAGACAATTTCAACCGAGAAGATGGATTCAGGCTTAGTAACCACTGGAAAGATGTGTTAAATCATTTCTGTTCTTAATTAATTGTAATTTTACGATGACCTTCAGACCGCAGCTCTTTCGCCAGCATTGCCTCTTAATACCTCTCACACCACGGTTAATGGTATGGTTTACAACATGGAGTATACTAGGGCTTCGCAGCTGTCTCTCTCCCCCTCCTCTGTTCCGACCATGGACGAACTCGTCCGTCTGAACGGGGCCCGTAGCTATCCGTGGTACGGAAATTTGAGGGTAAGAATCCACCCATTTTTTCGCCATATAGCATTGTGATATATAACGACTTATGGTTGGTAGCTTAGCTGATTGGAGAATATAGAGTTTATTGATAACATGAAGGTAATTTATATTTTAGTTTTTATTGGTTCACTATATAGTACTGTGAATAGCTCAGATGTGTAGTCATTTCTGTGACCAGTCACCAGCAAATCACCCAGTTATTTCAATGCTAAATTCGCCTAGTTATTTCAATGCTAAATTCTCCTGTTTTGATTTGTACTAAGTGCCTCGGTGAATGTGTATGCTCTGACTTCAACGTAACTATTTCTGTAGCAGTTACAAGCGAATGCCTTAATTTAGCTATTTCAATGCTAAATTCTATGCTAATTCCTTTTAACAATGGGTGCCTCTGCAGATGTGTATGCTTTAACTTTTAACATAGCTATTTCTGTGACCAGTCACAAGCTAATCATTCAGCCTTTTCAATGCTAAATTTTATGCTAATTCCTTCGTCAAGGCTCTTTGTTCCTCTCACACAGCTTAAAAGCCGTGATCTGAACGTGGCTCTCTCACTCCAGCGCTGTCCTACCAGACAGTCTCGCTCCCTTCACCTGATGAAGGCCGCTTGTGTTGTGGCCGAAACGTCGTGAGAATATTATTGTGTTATTTTATTTTATCAATTTATTATTTTATTCTCATTCTACGTGACTTTACCGAAAGAACCAAAGAAGATATATGAATGTGTTTCATTGATAAACTAGTTCAGGATTGAACTGTATTATGTAGTGTCTGTTTAATTATTGCTTGATTTTCAAAAAGTAATATCCAATGGAAAATTATCTGTAATTTTATCAACAGGACCAATTATTAAGTCATAAATCGCTATGGGGGTGTCTTGTAAAGCCTTATTAATCCATAATTATGTAATTGCAATGTTAGGAGTAGCCGCTTTTATTTTCTCGCTTCATTATATGTTTTAAACATTTTACAATGCTCGAATGCTTAGAGATTTTATTTGAACAAAAATAACAATAAATGTTATTCCATTTCAGATGCTAAGAACAAATTAAATTCAGCTGTGATGGATAAAATAATTTCTCCCAGACCCCATAGCCCCCCCCTTCCCTCCCACAACGCCACCCATTCTGGCTAGATCAGATGTGCCCAGCATGGATAATTTAACAAGTAGTAATTTTTCATGCAATTCATATTAAATAGATTGGCCATGCCTGGTGCAATTCCGCCATCACCGGAAAGGTTGGGCTCGCTCATGTCGCCCCCAAAAAGTGTACACGGTTTGCAGCTGAGCCTTAAGAATACGATGAGGCAATTTTAATGGGTGAAAAACCAGACGCTTTCCATCCCCGGCCAGTGGTTCTTAACCCGGGGTGCATGCACCCTCTGGGGGTGTGAGATGCCCTTATTGGGGGCATCTCGCCATGCCACATGTTTTTAGAAGGCAAATCATCAAAACACAAATTAAGCACTACTTTGTTTTATCGAATCTATGTGTTCATTTACATTCTACATTGTTGTTTAACGATATATAACCGAAGGGGTGCAAGGCTGCAGTACAGGTTAAGAGCCACTGCTTTAGGCGGTTATAATAATTAGTAAATAAAAAGTTACATTATTTTCCTGATTATCTCCTCTTCACCACCACTGAGCCAGTGATGGAAATTCATAGACTCCCATGGAGGAGGCAAGGTTATCCATTGGACGACCGCTGTTGATCTCCCCACAAAGTGGTAGTTATTTTAGCATCGGGATGATGGGCTGAGCCAACCACCAACCGGGATTTGAACTTGTGCACCCCCCCCACCCCCCCCCCCCCCCGATTGCGATCTTTTCGTTCTGCCGCTGAGCTACCTGCCAAATATTTACTTAAAAAAGGGTGGAAAAAATAACTCAACAAAATATATAAAGGGAGAAAATGTCGGGCAATAGCCCTTCTGTAGAGCAGAGAAAGACCATTGGCCAAGATGTGCTATAATTTACATTCTTGGATTTATAAGACAGGTCTCATAACTAGTATTTTAGGCATTATCATCAAGATCCATGGACAGATAGTCTATAGGTGTCCACTGCACATTTCATCATTTGTTTCCACTTTCCTCCGTCTTGTGCCAATATGCTCAAATAGTCCGCACATCTTTCTGGCACCAATCTCTTGTGTCGTCATCAAGCCATTCTGCATTTTGACTGCTTGTGTTGTGGTCATTGCAAACATGATGCCTTGAATAAAGGTGTCAGTTTTTGTGCCAGTTAAAAGGGTAAAACCTATTCCTATATCTTGTTTCTGGCAAAGGAGGTCTCATAATGTTAATGCTCACCCCGAGCCCTCAATACTCTGATAGTGCGCTGTTTTTGAGTTGTACGCCTTTTGGCGTCTTCTGGTCCAACACCAATGGAGACTAGGCTCTAAGAAAAGCTGTCTCGGGTGTGGACCAATCAAATTCAAGGACAGTGCATATTATTATCAGAGTTGTCTTTTTTTGTTTGCATTTTGACTGCTTGTGTTGTGGTCATTGCAAACATGATGCCTTGTATAAAGGTGTCAGTTTTGGTGCCAGATAAAAGGGTAAAACCTATTCCTAAAGCCATTCTCTGTTATGTATTCCTCTCTTTATGGTTCCTTACATTTTTCCCGAACAACAACGCACTTTTAATTTTCCTGTTGTTGTCCATCCTACATACGTGTCCAAAGAGTGCCAGATTCTTTCTCATCACTCCCTGCATCACCGGGTTGTCTTCTTCTACGTGTAACATTTGTCTTACTTCTACGTTGGTCACTCTTTGGGTCAGAGCTTAGATGCAGTATCCTTCTGTAGTAATGCATGACGTGCATTATGACACGTACTGTTTCCTCCTGTATTCTAAAGCAAAGGTTGGGTGGCATTGTATATTGTGGTCGGTGTATGTGAGACGAGATGTGTATACTTTGCTTGCGCTCAGGCACAAGTTTGGGATGCATTTTATTCTCTGGAGTGTCTTATATTCTGGAGAATAATGTTAATCTGTTTTTCTCTGTAGGGAAATTTTCTTATCAATGCGTTGAGTTTTTTGCTATTTTATTTGTGTTTCTTCACCACTGCCAAATGCAGTGTGACAAAGACGTGCTCGCATATGGTGACTTTATGATGAATACGGTTTGCATGTGCCCCTGTCCTGACTTAATTCATTGATAGGGTGACAATTGTAACTCATTGACATGATAGTGAACATATAAAAAAAATAACAAAGACAGAGGTGAGATGTGTTTCAATTATGTTTCATGTTTACACTGCATGTCATGTGTACATGTGGAAATCCACTACTGGATGAATGCCTCCCCAATGGGTTGTGGTGGTTATCTTAGCATTTTCACCATACTGGTCAATGCAGGTTGTTGATGGTGGGGAGCATAGAAGTATAGTACAATGGATATTGCTGCACTGCCCTCTGCTCGCCACTTTGTAGCCCCAAAGCGGCTAACACCAGCTATGCATGGTGGGTAATAAATCCAAGTTCTATCCGGGCTCAACACTGCTTAGCATCGCAGATATTCATAGGTTGAGCACATTCCAGTTAATTTTGAAGAACTGAATCTCAGCCAGTTAATTTTGATTACAGTTGATAGATTCTGAATCTTTATTTATCTTGTGGATATCCGATGAGCTATGAAGTTATTTTTCACAGATTTCATGGAGGTGGTCGGCAGTTAATGGGTCATAACACTTGGTCTGACAATACTCAGATACTAGGTTCAAGTATGGGTGTCAGCCACCCGTTAATAATACTGGTTCTCAAGTGCATCAAGATTGATGGTTTCAGCCCAATCACCAATAATTGTGCAAACTAAATCCATCATTGTAGATTCGAGATTATAAAACTTAAGTTAGATTAACACGTGACACCGTCCATCATCCGTTCCAGCAAAGTGTCCTTGACCCAGCTCGCTTACCTTTCTTAGCAGTCAATACGAGTAGAAGACTGTCTATAATATAATTCAGGAGCCTATGTATATTGGCAGCGGCACACTGTAGAACCGAAGGAGTGACATCTGCTATCATTTCACATCCGATTGGGTGGCTGATGATGAATACAAAAAAAAACTGATAAGCAGTTGGAAGCCACAAAACGTATTCATATTTGTTTTTATCCCCAGCATATTGCGCTTGTGCATGATGCGCGGTATCGCGCTGCTCCTGTAAAATCGTTACGCAATGAGAGGCCAAACCACTCCGCGACTGGTCCTTCCCAGGCTCCGCTCACTTTTTTTGTTCAGCAGGAAGCCGGCCAGGTGGTAATACGTCACGTTCAGCGGCATGTCCATGTTGGTCAGATTGCGGAAGGAGATCTCATTGCTGGCAGAATGTAGCTGCTGCAAGAGGACCTGCTTGGCGAAGTGCTGTTGGTCATTCTGAAATACACACGTACACACACACAGAAAAAGATCAACTGTTATAGCCATACAGATCATTTGGGGGCAAGTACTTGTAGCGAGCACCTATAACAGCCAGCCTGGTGCATGAGAGGGTGGTATGGTCAGTACTGCTGCTACAATTACACCTGGCCGCTTTTGTCTCTCTCCAGTGCCGATGTCCTTCCCCGGCACCTCCGACTAGCGCGTTTGGCTACGTACACTGTGAAAGAAGTTCAACATACATATTCTTTTGGTCTTTCGGTAAAGCCACGTAGATAGGTTGAAATAAAATAGCAACCTATCTAGGTAACCCAAAGAATATGAATTCCTGCAGTCACGAAAGCTTTAAGTCAAGATTTATACATACATACATACATGTTATTATCTCAAATACCCATTTGTTCTGGCACTTCGATATACTGCATGGGTTGCACGGCATAAATAATACACGATAATTACAGGTACTCCTTTAAAGCTGAGTCGACCTAGAAGTAGCCCAGAGCTGGTTGAGATATTCTCCCCTCGTGCTAGTCATGGTGAAGTGTGCTAACCACCATCGCTCCCCACACACACCACACGCACAGCGGTAATGGTGACACGGTTTAAACTTCTGTTTGCAAGAACATTACATATGGACTCAATGTCACGTGAGAAAAGAAACATTATTATAATCAGCTTGAAAATAAATAAAATTATATATAAATTGTTTTTCATCCAATGTCATTCCACTGCTGGTATCCCTTATGTGATGTCATTCAATGGGATTGTTTGACCATACTTCACCACGCTAGTCAGTTTATATTGCTAAAGCGGGGGGAGAGGGATTACTCAGGATCAGTTGAGATATCGCTCGTCAGTAAAGATGAGGATTCAAACTAAGGTCGCCGGCTTCTCAACGCAAGCTGCGCTAACCACTGCTCCACTGCTCCCACACCCCCTCCACCGTTATCTCGACGTGTCAGAAAAATACCAAGTACCTTTTAAAGTAAAAAATACCAAACGCTCCGAGTCGATATTAAAACAAACGCATTCAAGGTGACCTCCTCAGGGTGTTAATGGACAACCAACGGGCGTGACCCTGGGCTGGCACGTGGATTATAAGGTGAGCCCCAAGAAGCTCAACAGTGGCACAACCAAAGATTATTACGCAGCAGGGCCATGCACATCGGGGCACCGCTGGCCTTTTGGAGGTAAACCGCTAATCCTGTCCACGGGACGCGCCCTCAGTCACCACGCAAATTTCCACGGTTGTCACTTTGGAGCAGTGCTCCCCCCCCCCGTCCCCCAATGTTGTTTCGGAGGCTAATGTCTAACCGCTCTACCCCCAAAAAAAAACTGTAACAAAAATATTTGTATTTTACCAGGAAGAGGCCCACTGAGCTATATAAATATAGATTTTTTTTTCAGAAGCAACCTTATTCATGCGCACATTTATAGTAGCCAAATGCTCTTAAGCGCACGTTGTTTCTAAATGTGGAGGGGAAAATGCGGGGGGACCCGGAGAAAAATCCACGCCACCATTGGGGGAGAGAGACACGCAAACTCCAAATATACAGCAGGCGTCAGCGTTGGGAATCGTACCCACGACCTCCAGGTACACCAGGTGAGGTAGTTAACATCTCGCCACCGCGGCACCCCAAAGCACATTGGCTACCTCTGTGTGTGTAGCGCAGGGGAAGAGAAGGTGAGCAGCAATACAGAAATCAAACTCACGTGAAAAGTGCTCTCTCTATTCTGTCTCTCTCTCTCTCTGTTCCTTCTGTTATCAAACTTATAACTTATCATATAAATATTTTTTTCAGTGATTTTTTTTTTCTTTCTTGAAACCACATGGGAAGGACTGTGCTGCCTTTGAGTGTCTATACAATCGGAGACGGTGAAACGTACGCTTGGCTGGGAAAATGTCTGTTTTGTCTCTGGGAATCTTATCCAGCGTTTGACTACAGGCGATGAAAAGTCTATCCATAAGTCGACCGCTGTTAGCGAGCAGTTATTTTTCTAATCTTCGCAAGAATATCTCGGTGACTCTCAAATTCGACCGTATTTGTTTAACCAGGTGAGAACTCACTGCACCAGGATGATCTCATTCGCAAGAGTGACCTGAATGACACAAAGTAAGAAATAAAATAAAGTGTGGCTGTTCTCTTTGTAATGATTGGCCATTTACTTGAGTGTTTTTACATGTGTGGGAGGAAACTGGAGTGCCCGGAAAAAAAGCCACTCATTTGAAACGATGGCACTTAAACTCAGCACAAATTTGTCGAAAGTGTACTTGTTCTATTGCCTCTTGTACCCTCGTCATTGCCATGTAGGTGGAATGTTTGACACGTATGACGGCTCCATCACGGTGTGATCCATCAACCCCTATTTACTGCATGCTCGGAATGAGCCAGAACCCACACATTTATTTTAGGCATCTAATAATTCATTTCCACTGCCACAGCCCCCAACAACACGATGACTGAATTATCATGGTTTTAGGCGGCATTTGTATTCAATACAAAAAATTGTCTCGTTTTTAACGATGTCATTTTGTTGATCTTTTTCTAATATCTTTGTCATATGAAACAGGCTGCATTACCGCTTGGTGTAACATGAGCATGTGCATTCCATATAACTCGTATACATAGCAAATAATCGATTCTTATTCAGGCAATTCGACCCTCGTATCCTAAGCCTAAGAATTGATTTAATTCGATGAGTCCGTCCACCGTCGCACTAGTCGCCCCGCACGATCAATGCTTGCCGGTCGCTGTCGTTTCGCGCAACGAAGAGTCGATCAGAACTTCAACGCGAGCCGCCGGCTCGCCCCGGCCAAGCACTCACCTCGCCGAATCCCGACAGCTCGTCGTCGTCCATGAGGACGAGCAGCAGGACGGTGGAGACGACGCAGGCGGTGAGACCGAGGACCCCGAGCCGCACGCGGACGGGCCAGAACCGCGGGAGCGGCCCTGTCGGCATGCCGCGAGCCTCCGCCACACCGGGCTCCCACCAGGCCACTCGGTGAACGACTTTGCCGGGAGGGGAAGAGCCACGAGGTTCGTTGTGGCGCAGGGAAGCTGCCACCGCGAAACAACGAGCCATTACCATTCGCCGCATCGCGCGGCGCTTTCGGGATGCGCTTCTACGGCCGTCTGGAACGCTCTTGCCTTCCGATATTATGAAGCCACTGGAGCTATGCAACTTTTAAATAATCTAGATTAAAAAGTCAATTTTTTTGAACTGTTTTTTGTTTTTAGTTTGTTGTCCTTTCCCCCGCACCTCCGATAAGCGCGGTTCGCTACGTACAGTGCGAAAGAAGTTCTACATACATACATAGCCTCATATGGAACAAAAAAACACAGCTAGAGCACGAATACGAACCTGTACATGAAACTGAACCGTTGCTGCCCTTACACGAAAAATAACCACATATTAAGCACTAACACTAACCATTGCCCTTATAATAATGAATAATAATAGTAACATAATGGGGAAATGATGCTTATACATACCTCTGAGGTGGCATTATGTTCCACATTTGCAATCGTGAAGCAAACACTGTAACGTTAAACACATTCTCCTGCGGAGGGAGCTGGTAGGAACGTTGGGTTGCTCGGTCAATGGCCAGGGTCAACGGCACCACGTGGTGTATTCCCCACAATATGCCCGACTGTGAGGGCGGGCACAAGCCGGCGTGAGTAGGTTAAACGTTGAGTTTTATAAGAGCACCACGGGGTGACCAGCCCCTCCCCACCCAGCCCCACCCCTCCCACCCCCCACCCAGCCCCACCCAGCCCCTCCCCACCCTCCCCACCCAGCCCCACCCTCCCCACCCAGCCCCTCCCCACCCTCCCCTCTCCACCCAGCTCCACCCCTCCCATTTTTGGATGCACGACGGACGGACGGTCACAATCATCCCTTGTGGGCTGGTGTAGTAACCAGGAGGTTCCTACCAGTAGCAATGCCGATACACTAACGTTAACAACAACACTAGCGCCACCTGTATAATGAACACAAACCGTAGCCACTGCTTTCACAAAGAACAACCACAACCCGAAGCGAAACCGTTGCCTTCACAGTACGAATAACGAGACCCGAGTTACTAAACCCGCCTCGAACGCTAACCCTTAACCCACTGCTGTCACACGAAATAAAGGCCGCAACAACCCAAACACAGACACCATCTCGACAACGAGCACTTACACTAATTGCCGCGGCCTTGGCGCGAACGCTCTTGAACACTAACGCGAGGAAATTTCTCAAACTTCTAACCGTAGCCACGCGAATCCCAACCATAGCCCCCCCCCCCGGCACCCCCCCCCCCCCCCCCCCCCAACATTCACCATGCGGCACGATTTACAATTTAACGGTTTATTTAATTGCAGCACCTTCAGAATCAGAATCATTATTTCCACTGGGGGAATACGATGAGCTATGAAGCTTTTGTTCAGAGATGTCCAGCATTGCCGCGACATTTGTCCACCGCTATCTGTCCACCACGATCTGTCCACCGCTATCTGTCCACCACGATCTGTCCACCGCTATGTGTCCACCGCTATGTGTCCACCACGATCTGTCCACCACTATTTGTCCACCGCTATGTGTCCACCACTATTTGTCCACCGCTATGTGTCCACCACGGAGATACTGACTTGTTTTCCCTGGGTCTGTGCCTCTCTCGATCCCTCCATGGCATTCGCCCACACACGTTCGTCGCTGGGGTTTATAGGAAAGTTTCCCGGCCAAGAGTTTCTCAGAAATCGTGCACGTAGGTGCCTCCTCTGGTTGCCGAGATACTAGGGCTGATTGTTTCGAGTAAAACCGGTTCGTTTTTTTTTTTCAAACTCTTATCACAGAACCAGGGATTAGTTTCCGTCTGCAGACGGCTTTCGTTTTGTGAGCAGAACGCTTACGCCTCCACGCAAGGCATTACTTAATTCTGACTGCAGCTCGCATGAAACATTTTTTTTGTGGACAATTTCATTTTATTTGTATGTAAGTACTTTATATAACTGGACATTGGAGAGTGCAGACATGTCATGTGATTATTTGCATATTTGCCAACTGCAGAAAAGAAACGATGGGAAGTTACTGATTTATTTTAATTCATCACTGTGCTAAAGAAATCGCAGGTGGCAGGGCCATGAGGTCAATAGATGCAGCCTTGAGGTTCAGAAATTCAAGGCATCAGCAGTAAAATTCGCAGTAGTCGCAAATCTGGTGAAATTCTAATCTTGGCAATCTAAAGGCGTTTATTTATTTGGCAGTGACATAGCAGCGTATGTACGGCTATTTACTGTTTTTAAATACTGTGGCATGATATTTTAATATTTTTTTACAGAACCATGATTTAGCAATCCCATATTTAACAGTTGTTAATTACACATTTAAATTATAAATAAATCATAACTTTAATTGGGTTATGTGTGGCCGAATTACATTACAATTGTATGATTTGCAAACTGTAATTCCATTTTTAAGTGAAGTGTTCAATTAGGATGTATAGACGTTTACGATCTGCTGCAATGTCCTCAGGTAACCTGGCAGGGAAAAATACAAGAAATGCAAAAAACTTTCCACGGAGCTTATTTGATTTAATGTGCACGTGAGCGGAAATTATACGCTGATAAAAAAAAAACACACAACTCCCCCGCAATCTCACAAAAAACTGCTGAACACGTTGGAACCACGTTTATACTCGAATATTGGTCGACGTAAGACCTTTTGAGAATTGTAAACTTGATATTTCTTGACATTCTCAACAACAACAAAAATCGAATCACCTTTTTGTCAGGAGCAGGACGAGGAACAACATTGGACATTGCACGTGGGCACATATTTTGCTGCGTTCGCCAATTGTGTCGGGATGCGAACGCTCCCTCGCTACCCGGGGACTCTGCAGTGCCGCAAGAAAAACCGTGTTAATCACGATGCTGCTCGTGACCCGAAGCTTTTGACATTACGGTTGTGTTTTTGATGCAAAGCCAGTGTGGTCGTGAGCACTCCATGTCATTAATCACAATAAGCCTACAAACTCATTGCCTCTCCACGGCACATGTTTAAAGCATGCCATTTTCCCCTCCCCTTTACAATTTTGTCAGCACCTGTGCCTTTTGAGTAAAGCATTCCAACTTCGGGCTGACAGACAAAATAATGGATTGAAGTAACATTTTTCTGTACGTAATCGCAGATGATTTTATGTGGCTCGGGTCATACGTGCGGGAAAAATTACAGCAACAGCCTTTCAGAAACCATGCCAACCGATAAAATACAAATTTAAATATAAAATAAGACAATACAGTAGCATTTCTCTTATCTGCCATAGCGGGGTACCATTATCTGCGAGATATATTTTTTTTTAATGGTACCCCACATCCTATTCTTATCCGTGAAGTTATCCCTTAATTTAATCCACTTATATTGGATAATAGCGGATAATAAAAAAAATACAGTTGCTGATAATAGGTTTTGTGGACCTATTGGCTCCTGTGCATAAAAGATGAGAGCAATTAGGTTAATTGATAAGAGTTCTACTGTATATACATACTGCACAAGTTAAATACATTATATTCTTGGTTCTTTCGGTAAAGTCACGGAGAAGGGAAACAATAAAATAATAAAAAATATAAAACAATATTTTTATTGTTTCCCTTCTACGTGACTTTACCGAAAGAACCAATAATATGAATCCCTGCAGTCACGAAAGCTTTAAATAAAAATTTGAATACATTAGTCATCATTAAAAATATTTGAATAGTATGAGGATTCATCTATGACATATAGGTCAGGAATTTGAATTACAGTACCTGTATTAGGGTTAAAAAGTCCAGTGCTTCGCTCAAAATGTGTAATGTTTTAATATATTTTACATTAAATTAAAGCCAGCCAAGGCGTCCAGTAGGAAATAATAATAACATTTTGAGAAATGATGTCAAGGTTACTTGTTATTGTAAACATGTAATTCCATATCATTGACCCAGAAAAAAAAACAGTAAGATGACACGTTTTGATAAAAACGCACGAGCCAATTAATTATTAAATTATATTAATCACCTTCCATTCCATATCGGCATGTTTAAACGCGCGCATTCTGGACTGATTTTACGATTTGGAGGTATAACTTATTACCCATAATACTCCATTACACTATAGCTCTCTGTGTGCTTTCAAACAATAATTAGAGCTTACCCATCCGATTACTTAAGCAACCAATCACTCCATCAATGATCAATTATTTTTTCGACGAATGAGATTATACAAAAAAATGTTGGAAAAAATTATCATCTCTGCTTCCACCTGTGCCGCTGGACGGGAGGTGATGGGACAGGGCTCGGTTATTGTCAACTGGATCATCAGCCGGGCGTCACGCTGGGTGTGGCCTCTATGGGATTTCCCACGTTCGAGGGGCAGGATGTGATGGCAGCTTCCATTATTAAAGAGGCACGATTAATCGGCCACATAATTTTAACCGATTACAAGTTTATTCGTGAAGTCTACTCAATCATCGCAGCTCTTAAGAGAACTGACACTATCAAGATAATAAATTATGCCTTTGTTGGTATTACTACTATAATGAGCCAAGAATGTCTGTGTGTCCCGCGCGTGATGTCACTTCACGTCGGCCAGCCCCCCTCATTAATAATCATGAGCAGTTTTTTTTGGGTCTACGACGTTTCGACCGCAACAGAAGCTTGTGTTGCGATCGAAACGTCGTAGTTTTTTTTGCTATTTTCTTTGAACCTACGTGACTTTACCGAAAAACCCAAATAAAATGAAATCCTGCAGTCACGAAAGTTTTAAGTCAAGATTTAATCATGAACAGGTTACGTCATGAGCAGGTGACGTCACTCCACATGCACCCCCCCTCATTAATAATCATGAGCAGGTGACGTCACTCCACAGCGAACAGCCCCCCTCATTAATACTCATGAAGAGGTGACGTCTTCCAAATGGATACCCCCCACCCCTCCATTAATAACTGTCACCGCGACATTACAAATTGCACACGAATTGATGCAATGAATATCACGTCGCGGTCTAATTTTCGCTTGCAAGTTTCAGATTTACTGAAATACAC